CCTTTCGGCCCTCTTGACTGACAACCCTAACTGACGCGAAATTTACCACTTCCACCCCCACGTGTTGGTACCTCCCCTGGAGAGCTCGCAAAAGCCCAACGTTAATTAATACTAATCTCCGGCCTTACATTTCTATATAATTAAACCACACCACCGGTGTATTTTCATTTATCACAATTCCCGACTCCCTCCGTTATCGGGAACTTACTTTACCACTTTCCTTTAATTTTTTCACATCCCCTTAATAGACATATTTTCTCCGCGATAGGGCTAAGGAACGACGATGAAAATCGGGAAAAAAATTCATATTTGGTCTTTTCGGGTCTGTAGGACACTTTGACTAATTATAATTTCATTTATCACAATTCCCGGCTCCCTCCGTTATCGGGAATTTACTTTACCACTTTCCTTTTATTTTTTCACATCCCCTTAATAGACATATTTTCTCCGCGATAGGGCTAAGGAACGACGATGAAAATCGGGGAAAAAATTAATATTTGGTTTTTTCGGGTCTGTAGGACACTTTGACTAATTATAATTTCATTTATCACAATTCCCGGCTCTCTCCGTTATTGGGAATTTATTTTACCACTTTCCTTTTATTTCCTTAATAGACATATTTTCTCCGCGACAGGGCTAAGGAACGACGATGAAAATCGGGAAAAAAATTCATATTTGGTCTTTTCGGGTCTGTAGGACATTTTGACTAATTATAAAGGCAATTACCTCAAGATCGTCTCCAGCAACGAATCTAGGGTTTATCTAGTTGCGCGCGAATCTCCGGATGGAAATTAAAGCACATAAATGTTTTACGGCCCAGGGCCGATGGGACATTATACGGCAATTTACGATCTCGCCTCCCCGAAGCTCCCGATATACGAAAGGAGCTTTATGTACAACCCAGTACATATGTATGTAATTTCGACGTAGACTCTCCTGGATGCACCTTTACCCCGTTCGGGGACCTTCGGCTCTTCTCGTCCCCGAAACACCCTCCGACCTCAACGAAAGTCATTAAAATCAACCTCAAATGATTTAAATTTAATTACGGAACTGATATTAATCTATGCAAAATGATTCTGGTAATTGCAGATAAATTTGGAAAAATTTCTCTCGGCGTTTCTGCAACTGGTGTCGGACTGAATAACCGAGCGGGTAATCCGACGCTGAGATCCCGACTATTTTATCCCGGTTCCGCCTCCTTTCCGGATCTCTATCCTGGGGGAAAAGCCGCAAGGGTTGTCCGCAAGCTCGTGGAAAAATCACCGAATCAATCCCGAAAGTCGGAAGTAGAGGATCTGCCTTTTCCGGGAGAGACTCGTTTATCTGCACAGGTGCAATCTGCAACCACCTGTGCACCGACATGCTCTAGTTTCCCCGACATTTCGCCGAGGCCTTGGAATATACTGGGTCGAATTATGCTCGGCAATTCCAGTACAATAATTAATAATTAAAATATGATCCCATACATAAAATAATTTATGAAAAAAAAAAATTCCGAATAATAAAATGAAATTTTTCGAAGAAAAATCAAGGTCGATATACTTCACCGAATTATGCTCGGTAATTCCAGTACAATAATTAATAATTAAAATATGATCCCATACATAAAATAATTTATGAAAAAAAAAATTCCGAATAATAAAATGAAATTTTTCGGACAAATTCAAGGTCTGGACGAGTCTAATTATTTGGGCCTGTTGAGGTTTTCCGGGAATTTTCCAGATTTTAAGTATGGGAAGAGTGATAGAAAATTATTTAGAATTCAATTTTTATCGTGTCACGGGATTTCTTAAGTCTCGCTCCTCTGGATTTTTCTTCCTCTTTTTTCCAATTCCGGAGGAAAAGTCGGTATCCAATCCAATCGGCCTGAAACTGGAAAAGCTCGGGGTTTTACGACCCTTCTGGCCGATCGATGGTGGTTTTCATTATGGGGAGTTCATGAAGAAAGGACCGCTAGCCGAAACACCTAATCATTCGGAACTCGCAGGATCCATTCTTAAAAAGCTCCTTTATAAAGGGTCCCCCCCTCCGGAGATCCTTCCCGGTAATTCCCGGAGGAATCAACGAAATTCCAGGATCCCGTGAATAGCCTCTCCCCGAGCATCTGGTTCCATATTTCCTCATTTTAATTCCGCCATGTGACCGTGGAGTCGCGGAATAATTTCGGCGAGATCGTCGAAGCGAAGCGGAAGGAGATACCAATAATCCATATCGATAATCATTAATTTGGCATTCAAATAAACCTAACCATAATAATTCCGGGGTATTATATCCACGCAATCAATCATGTCCTTTGATATGAATTTCTAGAAAATTTCGAGAGATCGTCGAAGCGAAGCGAAAGGAGATACTAATAATCCATATCGATATTCATTAATTTGACATTCTAATAAATCTAATCATAATGATTCCGGGGTATTATATCCACGTAATCAATCATGTCCTTTGATATGAATTTCTAGAAAATTTCGAGAGATCGTCGAAGCGAAGCGGAAGGAGATACCAATAATCCATATCGATATTTATTAATTTGGCATTCTAATAAATCTAACCATAATGATTCCGGGGTATTATATCCACGCAATCAGCCATATCCTTTGATATGAATTTCTAGAAAATGTCGAGAGATCGTCGAAGCGAAGCGGAAGGAGATACCAATAATTCATATCGATATTCATTAATTTCTCATTAAATAATAACGCTCCGCATAGAAGCATCCGCAGAGAAAAGATGCTTCTAAATTTGTCCAGTCTAATAAATCTAACCATAATGATTCCGGGCCATTATATCCACGCAATCAATCATCCCCTTTGATATGGATTTCTGGAAAATTTCAGCGGTCCTCCGTGATTCTCGGAAATTTAATATTAATTTCATATCTCGGCCAGATGTGCCCCGAGTCCAGTCGTAGGTCGAAGTCGGCACCTCCATGGAAGTCGGCAAGAAGTTAGGGCCTACAAACGGAGGCGAAGTGGCACTATAATTAATTCCCATCCACGAGGCGCGGGTCGATCCATCCTGTCCTCGCGGGGGGTCCGCGTAAACTCGGAAACGACGCCAATAAACCCGAGGCCGAAACTACTTGGCCGAACTTTGATGGTTGGTCCGTAGGTGGTTCCATGGACGTCGTCGGATATCTCGTGGGCCTTCGCGATGCTCGCGGAATTGAATTTGCCGATGGTTTATTGCCCTCGTAAAATCCTCCGAATATTACGCCCTGGACCAGGATGCTGCGGAGTCGCGAGTTCGAAGATCGATCGATCGATGCACCTTCTGCTCATCGAATTGATTTTTAATTGAAGGGTTTGGATACCCTTCAAATAATTCAAATTATGCAAAAATAAGGGGAGCATATTTCTCGCCCAAAGATTTTTAATAAAAGGATCGAGATGCAACTTCAGGAAAAATTCTCCCAAAAATTCGAAGGATTTCATATTTTCCGGATTTTCTCGTATTTTAAAAAATGACCAGGATACTGCGGAGTCGCGACTTCGAAGATCGATCGATCGATATTCCTTTCGATCCTGGAATTGATTTTTAAGCCAAGGGTTTGGATATACTTCAAATAATTCAAATTATGCAAAAATAAGGGGAGCATAATTCTCGCCCAAAGATTTTTAATAAAAGGATCGAGATGAAACTTCAGGAAAAATTCTCCGAGAAATCCGAAGGATTTCATATTTTCCGGATTTTCTCGTATTTCACAAAGTGTACGTAGAAAACGTTTTTTCTAATGTAGAAAATGTGAATTTTAGGATTCGGTGATGAAAAAGTGCAATTTGGAGATATTCCCTCATGATGTCCCTTTTCTCTCCGGAGAAGGAACCGGGTGATATATTTTCGATTCTTTCTCGTATTTCCCGTCATTTCCTGTTCGCTCACACTTTTATCTCGCCATTCCTTCGTTTCTACGCCGAGATCCGCGTGTTTCGAGGCGGAGAGAAAAAAGCGGCCGCTCGATATGCAGAGCTTCCAATAAGTCCTGGAAAAAGGGTGCCGTTTTATTTCCGGTCGGTACGATCGCCACCTTCTCCGTTTCGCTCGCCCAGAGGCGCAAAAGAAATCTACGAGGAGGTCGTATCGCCCGCGAAAGTGGAACTTACTTCGCAATCTGAGCGGAATCTCAAAACCCAATTTCCGGAAAGGACGAACGAGCGGACATCTCGAGCTCCGATTTTCCCTCCCCTCCGTCCGGGAAACGAGATGCGTTTTCCTAGGAATTTATTAACTCGAAACGTCACATACCTTCCGTAGTATTGTTTCGATCCCCTTTAAGAATTTTAATAATTATCTAGCGACATAATTATCTAGCCCAACCGAAGGAAGCGATAGCACCGTTCACTAAACAACTCACGGCGGCTTATGACGTCACCCTGGACCATATTTACCATTTTTATTTAAACAAATCTGTCGGTCTCAACAACCTGGTTCTTCGATTTCTCCCCGCAGGATAATGGAAAGTTTCCCTTTGTGATGAACCGCGCGGAAAAAAAAGAAAAATCGTCCTTACCGCGGAAACGGGAGATAAATCTCCGCGTGATAAGCGCGGTCGCCGTTGGCTCCATTACCCGATAACTTCCGAATTTTGCGGAAAATATCCGGAAAATCCACAGGGAGCTCTAGTAGCGCCGTAATCATGACTCCCCGCGACCCTCCTTTATGAGCGGAAAATTGTCCGCCGAGTAATTTCCGTCAGGGTCATTACTGTCGTTCCGAAGGAAATTTTACGCGACGGTCGGCGCCATATCGGGGAAATTTAATACCGCGTGTCTGGCCATTTTTCAAATCCTCCAGAGAGGAAATCTCCCCAGGCTTAAATTTCGTTCGAGCCCCGCGTATCACCATCCTAGATAACAGACAGCCTTAAGAGTGAAAAAAGCCGGCCGAGCAAATGGTCCGAAAATGAAAATCTCCGAATGTCAAATGACTGTAAATTAATATATATACACGGATCATATTTTATTATGATTTATCAGGATTCCTATTTCCGATTGCAGGTGAAAGTGATGTTACGAGTGTCCACGGGGGATGGGGGGAGTTTTTTCAACGCCGATAAGAGGAAGAAACAGGTGACTCTGGTGGACCCAGCATCCGCACAATCATCCACTGCGGATGATAGACGACCGACCGTCGCCGCCCCCAAGATGTTCGCCTTCGACGCCATTTTTACGGAAGAGGACTCCCAGGTTGGTTAAAAAATCACTTTATACTTCTTTCCATGGTCTTTTTCCCCTAGAAGGTTAAGGTGAAGTGAAACCCTCTTCAGATCAGTCGATTTGAATGCAACACTTTTTTTTAAGGGTAAAAGACCAAACTGTCCGAAACTTTGAGAGATCGCTCCTGATCATCTAAGAATTGTCCTGACACTTTGCAAATTTTGATTTTTTAAACAAATTTTTGTCGTCCGATCGGGAAATTAAGGTGAAGTGAAACCCCCTTCAAATCAGTCGATACGAATACAACACTTTTTTTTAAGAGTAAAAGACCAAACAGTCCGAAACATTGACACGTCACTCCTGATCATCTAAGAATTGTCCTGACACATTGAAAATGTGGATTTTTTAAACAAATTTTTTAACAGTCCAGACCGGAACCAAAATGCCGTCGAGCTCTCATATTTCGATCAATATACAATTATCGAAGGCTCTGATGTGAGAATCGAAAGGGTCAGGACAATTTTACGAGAATTTAGAACACTCTGGTAATCGATAAACTCGCATTTGAACGGGATAAAGGCAAAAAAAGTGTTGTATGCGCGTCTATGCCAAAACGATGGTAATACGAGGTCTCGGAGTGAAAATTTAATTGACCTGTAAATCACAGATGGCGCAGGGGGTCCCTCTGCAGCCAATTAGGGCCCCAGAAAGCATGAATCCAGAGGATTTCTGGAGTTTTACTTCGATTTCTTTATAATTATTGTACGAAAACGACAGGGGGAGTATGCCATTTGGTACAATACCCAATATAATTCGACCCAGCTGTCGATATAAAAACGAACGTCGGCAACGTAGGCATTTAGAAAAATCTTCTTTATCGACGTCGATCAAGTTCCTCGACGTGTTTCACTTCACCTTAAAACGATCACCCGAAGATGCTCTCCGCCGAGTTTGGGTTTCATCTCGAAGACGATTACTCGTCCTGGAATCGGATATGGTGATTCAGAAATGGCGAGCCTTGATCAAGGATCTCGCCAAGACGTCGACGTACGTGCCACGTCGACCTCGAGTTTATCCCGGAAACGCAGAGACGTCCCTGCCGGGCGCATAACTAAACTAATTTCCTAACCTCGAAGCCCTCCACCCTCCGACCGGAAAAGCCCTCCGGGCGGATGTTGCTCTTAGCCGCGACTTCGTCTTCGGCCTTCGCCCTGCGTTTCCGTCTTCCCCCTCGGAAATGCTCCTCTCCGAGGGTGTATCCGATTCCGTCTCGGTTTCTCTCTCTCTTAAATGTGTGCCAAAGTGCGCCCCTCGGCCCAAATCTGAGCAAACCACCCTCGTTTGCTACGATTTCCCGCACCGAAATCCCTATTTTTCATTTTCCCTAATTAGTCGCATTTTATGAAGACTTCCCCGGAATTTGCGGAGGTCTCCAATTCCGAGTTAACTTCTGAATTTCTGCTCCAGGTTCGTGAAATGAAATTCCGGGAAAATGGCGATTTTGGTAGGGAAATCTTGGCGAAAATCCCTATTTTTCAATTTCCCTAATTAGTCGCATTTTACAAAGACTTTCGCGGAATTTGCGGAGGTCTCCAATTCCGAGTTAACGTCCGAATTTCTGCTCCAGGCTCGTGAAATGAAATTCCGGGAAAATGGCGATTTTGGTAGGGAAATCTTGGCGAAAATCCCTATTTTTCATTTTCCCTAATTAGTCGCATTTTACAAAGACTTCCCCGAAATTTGCGAAGGTCTCAATTCCGAGTTAACGTCCGAATTTCTGCTCCAGGCTCGTGAAATGAAATTCCGGGAAAATAGCGATTTTGGTAGGGAAATCTCAGCGAAAATCCCTATTTTTCATTTTCCCTAATTAATCGCATTTTACAAAGACTTTCCCGGAATTTGCGGAGGTCTACAATACCGATTTAACGTCAAAATTTCTGCTCCAAGCTCGTGAAATGAAATTCCGGGAAAATAGCGATTTTGGTAGGGAAATATTAGCGAAAATCCCTATTTTTCATTTTCCCTAATTAGTCGCATTTTACAAAGACTTTCCCGGAATTTGCGGCGGTCTCCAATTTAACGCTCAAATTTCTACTCATCATGAAATGAAATTCCGCCCAGCCTCGACCGCTGGTGTCGAAAATTTCTCAAAGGCGCTTCTTTCCTAATTTTCCCAAAATCTCTTGTCTCCAACCCAGTGATAATGAATTAAACATCGGGATAATTGAATCGTCCCTTGCAACGTTATCCAGGAAAATGCACCGGGACTGGGTTAACTAATTCAATTGTTGCTTATAACTTCAGTGGTAACAAAGAGATTTACTCAAACCAGGTCCCTTTCTTTATGGAACGAAATGGAAAAAAAAGAAAACGTCAGCGGTGGATTTTTCCGACGGTACAGCGGAAATTCCGCAGATTGTGGACCTTTCGGCGGTCCGAAACGTCGATGTCGGTTCAATGGGATATCGAGTGTTCGATTCGAATGGAAAACTGGAATCTGCATCTTTTCCGCTGCTCTCGTCATCCCCTGGGATATCTCCCCCTGTCCAAAAGGCTCCCTAGGGATGATCAGGCCGTCGTTTCCAACCCCTGGAATTCCTCCACCGACTGCCGGTCGCGTTTAGAAGAACCGATCGATTGATTCGATCAAAAGTCCGCTGATCGATTGTCATCGCAGGAGCACAATGGGTCCTGGATGCTTCAATGAAAACGAACCCGTACGTGATCCTCGTTCCACCTCCAGGATCTGCCAGGACGTCGCAAAGGGGATATTCCGAAAGTCCTGGAACGTTTCTGGACTATCCCGAAGAGGGAATTTTTTTACAATCATTTATCAAGCCTATGAAATTTACTCCTGGTCTATTTTTTAAGTCTCTTCGAGGTGCGGCTTTTCTCGATTTCTGGGCCTCGAAATATCTCCCCATCGAGGGAGGTCCTGCAGGACCTCGCGTTGAGAAGAACCATGGGGACCGATCGATTGATTCGATCAAAAGTCTGCTGATCGATTGTCATCGCAGGAGCACAATGGGTCCTGGATGCTTCAATGAAAACGAACCCGTACGTGATCCTCGTTCCACCTCCAGGATCTGCCAGGACGTCGCAAAGGGGATATTCCGAAAGTCCTGGAACGTTTCTGGACTTTCCCGAAGAGGGAATTTTTTTACAATTATTTATCCAGCCTATGAAATTTACTCCTGGTATATTTTTTAAGTCTCTCCGAGGGAGGTCCTGCAGGACCTCGGATCCTGGCCCCGCTCATCCTGCAGCCGTTTCAAACGCAGGATTCAGGATTGTTATCGGGCCTCGGGTTCGTTTGAATTTTTTAAGGGCCGATTTGCCGATTGGCTATCTTTTCATTTCCACCCTCGTCCTTTCGGACATCCTGCCATTGTGCCCGAAATGGAGCCCTTTGATTTCGGGTCTCCGGGAGAAAGGACCGATCGATCGATTAGGTATCGGCCGGCACCCCAAGTTCTTTGACGCGACCTTTTAAATTGACTTTTGAGGACTATTTTTTTTTTCTAATTCTTCCTTTGAACATTTAAATCCCGACGATAAGGACTAAACGTCTCCAGAATTGATCCACTTCATATCTCCGGTTTTCCATTTTATTTCTCTTATCCCAATGTTTCTAAATTCTATCCTGCCGGGGTAATATTTCCCTTTTATTTCCACGGTCTAATTCCGCGGGGGAGGCATTTCCAAAGGACACTCGGAACGTCGGCAGGGTCCTTCGGGAAATGGAGTAAGGTCCTGAAGTCGATTTCAAGAGGCAATGGTAACATCGGAAAAGTCGATCATGCACGAGAGGGCAAAGAAGTTAGCCAAGGCCGGAAAGCGAAGGAGTTAGGATGGTAATCCGATTGTCCTGGGAGTCCTGAGGGTATTCCTTTATATCCTGGATACGCGCAAAGAGGGGCAGCATCTCTCGAAACCATATACGCGCACCCTGTGTACGCGTATATATAATTACATATATAAATGCAAATATTGTAACGCATCTCCTCCAGGCACATGCCCCAGGATCGGTCCTGCTGCAAGGATGCACCTCTCCTCCGTAAAGAGATTCCCTTTGAAAATCCTCTTCGTCCCTGCAGCCTCCATTTTCTTTTCGACCCCGTGTCTCCCCCGCAGTCCTTTGCAGCCCAGAAAATCAGGATAACCGGATAAGATAAATCACTTAATCGCTCCGGGGTCCAAGGATTGACATCCTGCGTACATATCTCACATACTTAAATTACCGACGAGGATCAAAAAGAAAATTCCTCCTATTAGAGAATCTAAAAACAGAGGCAGAATTTTTCATATCCGTGAAGAACGCGTCCTTTGGCTGGATTTTTATGGTAAAAAAAATTAACCTAATTGCAATCGCGCAATGCCGATCCAATGATAACGTGATTTTTTGACGAATTCAATTCATCTCAATTTTAGGGTTTAGTGAAACAATATCAATGATAAGTCGATACAGCGGTCAATATCAATACCAATGTCGGGGATGTAGGTATTTAGAAGAATCTTCTTTACCGACGTCGATCAAGTTCGATGCGCTTCACATCACCTTAAAGGGTTAAAAGGATGTCACCCGAAAAATCGGGATGCAGTTTCCGGAGTCGGACCACCAGGACTCCGATAAGCACCTCTGCGGCTGATAAAGTGGACTTTCGTCCAGTGGACGGTAACCGGGGGTAATAATGAAAGATCGACAATGGGCAGAGCATGCAGATGAAACCCACCGGCCGAATCAAGCCGAACATCCATCTCAATTACTCGGGCTGCATCGGCACGTGCGAATCCCTCGGGACAATTCCATTCCTTCGTGCACCCGGCCCGGGACAATGCGTCCTGTACGGGATAATTCAGTGGTGCCATTATGGCCGACTCGGGACAAGGGCTTTATTATTGACTTACTGCCGATAGTCACGCCGTTAAATTGCGTCCCCGTGTGCGTGTCATCCGGGAGTGTCCACTGTTCCCCCCTGTCCTCCCTATCGGCTGCTCATTTCCCCGGAAAATGCCGATTGGACATCTCG